TTTTTTTTTTTTTTTTTTTTTTTTCCTTTTTGAGACTGGCCGCACCGCGCTCAGCCAGTGAGTGCTGTGAGCGCACCGGCCATCCCTACATAGGATCCGAACCCACGGCGGGAGCGCTGCTGCGCTCCCAGCGCCGCACTCTCCTGAGTGCACCAGGGGCTCGGCCCTGGGACAAATGTATTTTTAACAGAAGCTGTTCAAGTTTAGGAAAGTGCATGTCTCTGTACTGGTCAGGGGAAGGCTCTCTTCCTAGCAGATTATCCAGACCCATTGCTTTTCTCTCTCTTCACACTTGAGCTTTTCACCTCAGAGAACAGACAGAGGAAAAGATAAAAGACAAAATTCAACCTCAGTGATCTGTTCATTCTGATTCTCACACTAATCTTTTGTGAACTACTTGGACCTGTCAGATAAGCCTACTTTTTTGTCACTCTCCATAATTATTTTAGCTGAAAGGTTCTTATAGCTTTTTACTGTGTTTTGGTGTGATATAGCTGCTGCACAGGTCAGGCAGTTTTCCAGCAAGGCATGGTGGTCACACCAGAGTGTAATTTCCATGAAGGCAGGGGCTTTGTCTGCTTTATTCAGAGTGAAAAACCTGAACATGAATTCAGGGGAAAAACGGACCATTTCTAGCTCTCCATTCATTTAGAGAGCACCTCGACAAGTCAGTTTTTTGGTAAGATTCTCTCTTTACTTTACTTAAATTCTTTGGTAATTCTCAAGCATCTGTATTTTTCTGTCTTAATTAGACCTAAGCATACTGAGAATAAACAAAGCTCTCCTCATAATACCTGGGAAAATGCACTATTAAGTTGGCAAAGTTTTGTTTCTTTTAAGTTAGGAAGAACTTAACTTACTCATAGAAATGAATCCAATTGAAATTCCACATCTTCATGTGTTTAATAGGAATTGCCCCAAGTTCTTTTCATTATTCTAATGCAGTAGAGTATTAATCCTTATCCTACTCATCAGTTTCTTAGATGCTGAGATTTTTTTCTCTGTATAATAACTGTCTTTAATATTTCTGTTTGTTGTCTGTGTAAGATTTTTGCCTGACCGTGAAAAACAGCTTAATAAATCTGTTACCAAATTACAACCACAGATTTGTCTTTGAATACTTCACCTTAATTTCTCTTGGTTGTATTTCAAGTGGGATTATATACTTCCTTAAGGATTGGCTATATCTTCCAAGACAGGTGTCATCAGAACTTAAAGCTTGGTGGGGCTGTCCCATTAGCTCAGTTGATTAGAGGGTGGTGCTGCTAACACCAAGATCTAGAGTTTGATCCCTGTTCCAGCCAGCTGCAAGAAAGAAAAAAAAAAGAAGAACTTAAAGCTTGGTGACCACTCAATCTTAAGGTGGTGAATTATAAATAATTCCCCATCCTAATAAAGGATTTTCTTCTAGAAAAATCGTTTTGAATGTCACGAACCCCCCAAAAAAGAGTAAAAGTGGGATAGATCACTTCTCTACTTTTTGAGTTTCTCATTTACCTTTTGTTTTGGTTGAGTAAAATATTTTTAACTTCTTAATGACAATTCATCTTTCTAACCAAGAACAGCATTTGCAAAAGAAGCCTCATGTTTATAGCAGTTGCTGTTTTGGAATTGGAATTATATATATATATATAATTCATATATATGCAAACCTGTATACATATATATACACACATAATATCAATATACATATATGCATATAATACACATAATGTGGAAGAAATACAGTAGCTCATCACAGATGAGCTACATAAGAAATACAGTAGCTCATCACAGATGGCATAGGAGATATGCCATCTGTGATGGCAGAATTTTATATATATATATCTGATAAACTTGGAAACTCTCTAAAGAATCCTCTACAATTAACTTTGTCATATGCAAGCATTATGTTCTTTTTTTACATGCTACTTTTTGAGACTAATATAGTGTAATTTGGTTGGAAGTTACAGTTTCATAGGCTGTCATAGTATTTGCTATCTATCCAAATCAGTACAAAGTACAATTAAAATATCATACCAGAAAAGAATAAAACAAAACAAAACAAAATATCATACCAGAGTCCCATTCATATCAGCTTATTTAAAAGGAAGCTTGGTAATGCATGATCATTAACCACCTAGAATATTGTTTAACTATTTCCTTTAATAAGAACTGAGAATAATATGAATTTGAGCATTTCTAATTTTTTCTTGTGCCTATACATTTTCCTTTGCTTCTGTTTTTGTACATAAATTAAGGTGGAGAAGAGAAGGTTGAAGGTAGCATAAGACTTTTGGTTACTGTTCTACACTGAAATCAATCCCAGATAACAGGTTAACTGGTATTTGAAATGCTTACTTGGTTTTTATAAATTATTGATATTTTAGCCTCTGTCTTATCCATAAAACTAGCATTACTATATTGGTTATTTTTTTCCTGAAAACTAGTCTTTGGGGAACAAAGGTCTGATTGTGCTTTGTAACCATTTTCTTTGCCTTTTAGACATGACATCTGGCCCTAGGAAGAAGAACTGTGTCCATTAGCTTGAACATTCCGTTGGAGTCAGGATTAGGGGAAGGGAATATCAGATAAGGAAAGTGGCTACTGCTTAATGAGCAGCAGTTTATTTCAGAGATTTTTATGGATCGTGTCCTCATCACCTGTTTTAGCAGAATATTGGTCTTTTTATATAATGTGATTTTTACTCCTTTCCAGAATGTAGAAGCCGACAATCCTCTGCTACTTGCCACTCTATTAAACCAAACTCTTCAGTGTCATCAACTGTGACCCCAGAAAATGGAACAACTAATGGATACAAATCAGGATTCACTCAGACAGGTATGGGGCATTTTCTTTTAGCATTTTGAGCAGCAGATGTATGTTTAGTGAGGCATTTTAAAGTTTGAATAGAGGTATTACTAGAATAATTAGAATTATAGCTCAGCATTGAGATAGGTCATTCTGTGGATGACCAGAACCCAAGTCCCAACAGTCTTGTCAGTGTCAGGCTAAGAATGGAGAAAGGAACTGACAGTTGGTAGAAAATTTAGCACAAGCAAAGGACCTGACTCTAGGGACAATAAATGGGAATCTAGACATCAGGGAAGTTTGCATTGTAGCTATCAGGTGGCAAGTATTGGGACACACTCATGAAGACTAGAGTTCCAGAGCAGGGTTCTAACTAAGCCCACAGAGCAATGTAGGGAGAAGTGTACCAATTGGGATACAAAGCAAGGTCCCAAGGTGGGACTGTGGATCATAGCAGTGGAATCCATGATCTAGTTTCTTGTCGTACAAGATAGGGTCTTGGTTACTAATAACCAGATAAAAACTTAGTGCCTGAAACTAGGTTACAGTATCAGGGGAGGATCAGCAAAATAGACGATCTGATACTGAGCAAATTATCTACTAGTCTATGGCTTTTAAAAATTCCTCCAGGCACTGGCCCAGGCCCTGAGGTCAGGCTAAGACTCCTGGTGGGACTTAATGATTCCAGGTGGATGAAGGGCTAAAGGGCTGTAACTAAAAAGATCATTGCTGATAGAATTTGAGAAAATTACTCAGAACCAGTCTCAGTTATATCTTAGGTAAGAAGAAAAGTATTTTAAAATAGTTTGTGAAATTTTTTTTCAGTTCACTTGTTTTTTATGAAGTACCATCTTATCCATCTAATATGCAAACTTCGTAACATATGTGCTTTGCTGATGTCCACTCAATTACAAATTGATAAGAAGGCTGTTTTCATTCACTACTTAGCATATCTCTTTCAAACTTACATGAAATTGTGATGAGCTGGTAAACTGTTTCTACTTATTTTCAAGATAGACATGTTTATTAGAATATATTAGGAACAAGAGCAATGATAATAAGGCTCACTTTATTTGGGGCACTTCTTGCTATGTGCCTGTGCTCAGCTAAGTCCACCTCATCCTGGATAAAATAGTCAAATTTTAACCTGTCCAGAAGATTTACATAGAGGCTGTGATCTAAGAGGAGAGACCATTTCTCTTTAGAATGAATGAGAGAACATCATGTTACTAGGTGTTCAAGAAAGAAAAAAGGTTGTCATTTGGGTCTTGGCATTGGAAGATTAGACTTCATTACATTAATGACAATCCTACATGTCCTTCCTAGAATATTATTTTAGTAATTTGATTGATTCCATGGTATATTTTCTGCCATTAGACCTCAGTGCTATGAAATATAACTTTTATATTTTTTACAGTATTAAAAATTGATATTTCCCTCATTCCAACAAAAACTTATCAAGTATTTATTATCTTCTAAGAACTTTATCAGATGCTGTAAGTCAGGGCTTCTTGTCTAATGACTGCAGTGATTTAAAAACCACTCATATAAGGAATTAAAGAACATTAAAACACGTTACCTTTCCTAAGAGGGAGAGGTGGCTATGTAAATAATCAGTTGTACCTGAAAATAATGAAAAGATGTTAAAATGTTAATAAGTTAAAATAATTTTAATTATACCAGGAAATACATTCTGAAAACAAATTTTGCTCTGAAAGAGGAAGTCAAGATTCAGGGTCTAGCAAAGTCTCCCCAGTTGACATGATGACAGGCAAGAGAAAGAGGAGGAGTGCACTGCCTGACTCACAGTGAACACGTAGCCAAGGGTTATGCCAGTGTCCTTGTGTGTTCCTTGTGGGTTGACCATGAAATTAGTTATTAACAATTTTAGGTGCAATCCAGAGAATTAAATGGAAGAAACTGCCTTTATAAGTAAGGCTTTGTATCTGAAACTTTCACACTGATGAATCATATTTATACTTTCTTCAACAATAATTTCTTCGGACATGTCGAGTGTAATAGGCTGTAGAAATTTTATGTTAGCATTATGACATCATCAGTAACATTAGGGTATGCAGCACTTCCTTAACTGGTGGATTGAGATTCACCTTTCTGTAGGAGATTGCCTTCTCCTTAATTTTTTTTTTGTCTTTTTGTCTTTTTTCGTGACCGGCAACGGGATCGCAACCCTCGGTGTTGCCCCCGCTCCTCGTTCAGCCAGTGAGCGGCTGGTC